CTATGGAGAATGGCATCAAGCTGACTGATGCTCCTAGATCACAAAGACATCCAGAGAATAGAAGAGGTCCAATGGCACAAGGGAGTGTGAAACTCCCTGGATCAGTCAACTTTCTTGGAATGGACTTCTTCTGAATGATAGCACTGCATACATGACTTAGTACCACCATTCCTTGAAGGTCTTTAGTCTTGTTCAGAATGGCATCCTTCAAGAACTTCCCCATCTTTGGCATCATTAGGAATGCATCAATGAGAGGCATTGTGAGTGGTGTCTCATTGAATGCCTTCTCAAATACAGCTCTTGCCTTGTCCACAAGCTGCTTCTTAAATCTCCCTGGAAATGGGAGCTTTGGTTGGTATGGAGGTGGTGGCACATATGTCTTTTCTGGTTCAGGTTCCTTTTCTACCTCTTTACCCTTTTCTGTCCTTGGTTTCTCAGCAACCTGATCATCTTTTAAGGCTGCCTCCCTCTCAGTTTGATCATTGTCCTCAATGATCACATTGTTGTTCTCAATACCAGGTAACTCCTTTCCACTCCTCAGTGTAATGGCCTTTGCATATTCCTTGGGGTTGGGTTCTGGTTTTCCAGGTAGGTGACCTTGGTTCCTTGAGCTTGAGGCCTGGTTCTGCTTTAGTTCCTTGATTTCCTGCTGCATGGCTGCATTCTGGCTTGCAAAGATCTGTTGACCCTAAAGTAGTTGTTGCAGAATACCAACCATATCTGTCCCCATCTGTGGCTGCTGAACCTGTGGTGGTTGAAACTGTTGTTGAACCGGCGTCTGCTGTTGGAACTGTGGAGGACCAAACCCTGGTGGTGCCTTTTGCTGCTGTGAACTGAAACTAGGACCTTGAAATGGTTGCTGTTGCTGACCAAAACCTTGATTCTGAGCAAACTGATTCTTGGGTTGAAAAGACCCTTCAAAGCTGTTCTTGGGAACAAAGTTCTGTGGAGCTTGAGAATTGGGATAGACCTGGTCTGATGGGTTAGCTACATTGGTGTTCCTGTAGGAAAGGTTTGGATTGGCATTACCATACTGATATCTCTGGAACCTCTGATTCCCAATGTAGTTAAGCTCCTCCTGGGTGAGACCTTCTTCACTAATGTTCTCAAAGATTTGAGAAGGTTCCTCATACTCTCTAACAAAATGCATTGGCTTCTGAGTAGTGAATTTCAACTTCTCCAATTCACTCCTCAACTCCTTAACTTCCCTAGTGAGCCTCTGTTCTGAGCTTGAACCTTCAGATCTATTTGATCTGTCATAGTCTTCACCATAAGTGTCATTGCTCATTGCTAAGTTCTCCACTAGCTCTAAAGCAGCATGTATCTCCTTTCCCAGAAAGTTCCCAATGGAGGCAGTATCCAGCTGGTTTCTAATCTTGGGAAGAGCTCCTCTATATAGTGTGCTGAGAAGGGAAGCCTCACTAAACCCATGGTGTGGGCATTGGTTTGTGTAGCTCCTGAATCTCTCATATGCTTCACCAAAGCTCTCATTGCTGTGCGGAGTGAAGCTAGAGATTTGGTTCCTAAGTTTTGCAGTTCTTGAGGTGGAGAAGAACTTAGATAGGAAAGCTTGCTTGCATTGCTCCCAGGTTTGAATGGAGCCTCTTGGAAGATTCTTTTCCCATTGGTGAGCTTTGTCACCAAGACTGAATGGGAATAGTCTTAGCTTGAAGCTGTCTTCTGAAACTCCATTAATCTTGGTCAGGTCACATAATTTATCAAATTGATCCAAGTGTTCCAAGGGATCTTCCATTGCTAATACATGGAATTTTGAGTTCTGGACCATATTCAGCAAGGATGCCTTCACTTCAAAGTTGTTGTTTTGCACAGGTGCTGCCTGAATTCCAGCTCCATACTGAGGAGCATTGGCCCTGTCATTCTCTCCAACATAGACTTGGGGTTGCTCAAATCTTCTTTGCTGGTGTTGGAAGGGCTGGGGTTGGTGGTGCACCTGTTGTCTTTGCTGTGCATTGGCCTGATGCCTCTGTTGATGAGCTTGAGCTTGTCCCTGGTGGACATAAGCTTGATGGTGATGCACCTGTTCCTAATGAACATTACCCTGATTTAACCCTTGACCAATTCCATTACCAGCTCCATTACCCTGAGCCTGTTGCTCCTGAACCGGTTGTTCTATGTCCACCACATGCTCACTTTGTTCTTCCATATCAGCCTGATCAATCTGTCTTCCACGTCTGTCCCTTCACCTCCTTGGTACCAAAAGATTAATGTTGTCGTTGAGGGGGAAAGGTGGACCACAGCATCTTGATCTAGACCTGGTGTTCATGCACCTGAAATCACAAACAGAACTTGAAAGTAATCAGTAAAAACAAGAAAATAAGCACTTGATCTCAAGAACAGATCAGAGCTTAATGCTAAACAATCCACAATTTGGCAACGGCGCCAATTGATAACTAAGAGTTTTCAAGGCTCTTTGTAGAGGTTATCAATCCCCTGTCTTGTAGTACAAGGGGTTTATCAATCCATATGTGGTGTTAGACACTAAACTATGTGATCAGATTCTTAATTCAAGCAAACAAGAGTGGTTTTGATTAACTAATGACAACTACAAACTTAAAAACATGATTAAAGATTAAAGAAGAACTAAACAATGACAAGTGATATGATTATGATATGATGGAGGCATGAGATTCTAGACATGATAGTTGGTTAGGGTGCTTTGGTGCTAAACTAGGAATGCTAATGACAATGATGAGACATGATTCAAATGATTAAGAACTCTAATCTAGGTTAATCCTCTCACGAAGGTATTAACCCCTATACTAATCCATTTTCAAACCAAATCATCATTGGTGAAATATGAATCAGTATGCATTAATAAACAGTTCTAAATGATCATTCAAGCAAATAACAATACATCATCATGCAGCAAATGCTTAAACCGCTAATACAGCTCTTTCAGGAATTTTATCAAACACTTTTGGTGCATGAAATTCCCAGAATCTAGATCTCAAGTGATATGCAAGGATCTAGCATAGAGAACAGCTGTTTAGAGAGATCAATCAATGAATCTAGGCCTAAGCACTCCTAATCTAACACTTTAGCACCCTAACCTACACATCTAGAACCTCATTAAGGTGACTTCTCACTAATCATACTAATCTCTCTTAAACGTTTGCAAGTTGAGAAGATTGGCATGATTAATGATGAGAAATAGAGATGGGGAAGATGGATAATGATGGATTTGCAGCTTTAAACACAAAGATCTCTCAAACTCTCTTTATTAAGCACTTAGTAATCGATATTTCTCTTCTTAAGTGGAGTTTTTCACAAAAGAGGCAAGAGGCAAAAGGAATAAAGCATAGTCCTTGGAAAAAAAACCCTAAAAACTATTTATATGTCTCTAAAAACGAACCGGGTCAGCCCGGAACAAACCGGGTCCTGACCCGGCTTTAGTGGATAAAGTGGAAAGTGTGCGAGTTGGTCCAGTGTCTCCCAGGTCTCATGACCAAGTCGCACAGCTGAAGAACTTGTCTTGTGAGACTTAAATCGCTTGGTTTTAGCCGCATGCCCAAGTAGATGTGTTTTGCGAGTCTTTGTGCGGCTTAATCTTCTTCTTCTTCAACTCACAGGACCAAGGCGGTTTCTGGGGAATGTACATGTGCGACTTGGTCATCCCTTAGTCCCAAGCCGCATGCCCAAGTCGCACAACCAAGGAGAGAAGCTTGAACGAGATAAAACCTTGTAGATTCAGCCGCATTCCCATCCAGGAGTGAATTGCGAGTCTTTGTGCGGCTAAGTCCTCTCTGATCCTTAACTCACACGACCATGTAGCAGGGGTCTTCAGGAATGTGTGCGGGTTGGTCTCCATTACTCCCAGGTCGCAGGCTCAAGTTGGTGTAGATTGCGAGTGAGCGTGCGGCTTAGTTCCAGGCGCGGCCAACTCGCATCCCTAAGTCGCACGATTGTGGACTTAGCATTTTTCTTGCTAGGGAGCCTCAGACCTCATCCAGTGATAGCTTACCCGCACTTCTCAACTCACAGCATCAACTTCTAGGCATTCATCTTCAGGCCTGCGAGTTAACCAGGTCGCAAGACTATCTCGCAGCATTCAGAGCAGCCTGGACCACTTCGCATTCCGGGAGGCGTAACTTCCAGGATATTGGTCCGAATTGTGTGCTTCCGGTTTCATAGGACAGAGGACTCATATATATATTATGCCTTGGTGAAGTAAGCTTCAGTGCTTTGGAAGGGGAAGGTTTCCTGGAGGGCTCATCTTCGCAGTGCATTTACACGATCAGAGAGAGGCGTCTAGACACGTGTCCATTCCGGAACCGTTATCTTCTTGCTCATAGCTCCGAATTGAATGATCTCAAACGTTCTGGAAAGAGGACTCAATGATCTCGGATTCTGATGAAGGCCCCGTAAACTGAATCGGTCTGTAAGGGCACCGTCCTTCGCATTCTTCGGAGCTCATCGGGTTGGTCCAAAACGGCAGCGAGACAGGAGTTCCTTCCGACGAGCTTAACTCTCTGCTCACGTGTCCGAATTATATGATTCCACTTGCTCTGGAACCGTGATCCAATCTTCTCCAACGTTGATGAAGCACCCGACAACTGAATCGGACCGGAAAGTTCCCCGGACAGGCGATTTCGGAAACGTGTCTGCACCCGGAGATTTTGGCCTAGAAATTCATTGCCCGGTACGCGGTTTGGCCGATGAATCCACCCGCGGTACATGAGAATGTCTGAGAAAACCTTCCTGCGGTACACGAGAATGGCCGAGAACCTCCAAAAACCCATTTTCAGCATCTTTCAAGCCCTGGTTGCGATTTCTCTTCCTGGATCCATCTCTCCAACTCCAAATAACTCCAAATACACTTGATAAACACTCAAAACATGCAAAGACTCATTGGGACCTAATGCAACTCCTAAATCCGAAAACAAACCCTAAGAACCTAAAATTCATGGAATAAGATATCCTTTGGAATGAAATATACAACCTAAATGATGCAATTTATGAACATATCAGAGCACTTGCGAATGGTACTAGAGGTACTTAGGAAGGAACGACTCTCTGGTAACCTGAAAAAGTGTACCTTCTGTGCAGACAGTGTCGTTTTTCTAGGTTTTGTTGTAGGAGCTAACGGAATCCAGGTGGATGAAGAGAAGATTAAGGCCATTCAGGAGTGGCCTAGTCCTAAGACCGTTGGTGAGGTCAGGAGCCTCTATGGCTTGGCCGGGTTTTATCGACGGTTCGTCAAGGACTTCAGCACACTCGTCGTCATAAAGAAGGATGTTGGTTTTAAATGGGACGCGGCCCAGGAAGAAGCTTTCCAGCTTCTAAAAGACAGGCTTACTCACGCCCCTTTACTCTCTTTACCTGATTTACTAAAACTTTTGAAATCGAGTGTGATGCTTCAGGTATAGGTATCAGTGCGGTCTTGACTCAGGAGAAGTGGCCCATAGCTTACTTCAGTGAAAATTGGGCGGAGCCACATTAAACTACCCCACGTACGACAAGGAACTCTACGCCCTCGTTCGCGCTTAACAGACTTGGCAACACTATCCTTGGCCAAAGGAGTTTGTGAACCACACGGATCACCAGTCGTTAAAACATCTTAAGGGGCAACAAAAGATGAAAAAGCGGCACGCAAGATGGGTTGAGTTCATTGTAACCTTCTCCTATGTCATTCAGTACAAGAAGGGAACGGACAACATCACTGTCGATGCATTGTCTCGGCAATACAGCCTGATCTTCACTTTGGACGCCAAGATACTCGGCTTGAGATAATAAAAGAGGCTTATGCTTCTGACCCCGATACCAGGAAGTTTATCAATCTTGTTCTAAATTTGCTAATGGCAAATACTTTAGAAATGATGATTTCCTGTTCTATGAAAAGCGATTGTGTATACCTAATGTTTCACTTCGTGATATTTTGGTTAGGGTAGAACATGGCGGTGGTTTGATGGGGCACTTCGGAGTTACTAGGACCCTCAGCGTGGTCCAAGACCATTTCTTCTGGCCAAACTTGAAAAGGGACGTGGAAAGAATCTGTAACCGGTGTGTCACTTGTAAGTATGCAAAATCCAAAAGCCAGCCACCAGGTATGTACACGCCCTTACCCATCCCTAGTTCACCTTGGTCCGACATTTCTATGGATTTTGTCTTAGGTTTACCGAGAACTAGGAAAAGACGAGACTCGGTATTTGTGGTTGTAGATTGGTTTTCAAAAATTGCCCACTTTATCCCTTGTCATAAAACAGATGATGCAGATAATGTAGCCGATCTGTTCTTTAGGGGAATTGTTAGGTTGCATGGTGTACCAAGAACCATAGTCTCTGATAGGGATACCAAGTGTCTCAGTTATTTTTGGAAAACTCTGTGGTCCAAGTTAGGTACTAAGCTATGTTTTTCCACTACCAGTCACCCCCAAACCGATGGACAAACCGAGGTAGTGAATAGGACCTTGTCGGCCTTGCGTAGGTCTGTCATTAAAAAGAACCTCCAAACTTGGGAAGACTGTTTGCCACACATAGACTTTTCATATAATCATTCTTTGCATTCTACTACCTTGTATTCTCCGTTTCAATTAGTTTATGGCTTTAACCCCCTTACCCCACTTGATCTTTTGCCTTTACCATTGTCTGAACATGTCAGCCGTGCGTTGTAGTACTTAGGGTGTCGATCCACAGGGAGAGTTGTCTTTTCTGCAGAAACTTCAAACTGGATTAGTAATCGAACTCAAAGACCAATGGGGGTTTTTGTGGTGTTTGTGTGACACTGAAAACGCAAAATAAAACAAGACTAAGACTCTACTAAAACGAATTTTTGGCTGACAGGGATATCTTAGGGGATATTCGATTCATGCTAGGGTTTTAAAGCTCATAGGTGGCGATTTAGACTTTTTCGAGTTACTCTAATCGATGTATGGTGGCATTTCCAATTAGCTTCCGGGCGATTTATGTTCATCTGTTTCTGAGATCTGCATGGAACTGGAATAGACATATATAAGATTAACCAACTCTCGTCATCTTAATCAACTAGTCACTTACCTCGGAAATTAACTCTCTCTCATGCCGCGAGTAAGATCATGCATTAGACGTTGAATTCGTCTGCTCACATCTTCTCTACAGGTAGCTTTCGACTCCTGTAGCGACTATGTTCTTCTGAATCTTTGTTCTGGCAATCTGATACAACACTCTCGTGGCTCTGATTCCTAGATTCAGTAGTTAGATCGCGAGTTTAACTACATGCATTAAGAACAACTTAGAAGAGATGAGATCTAGAATATGGCTAAGAAAACAACAGCAATCCTAATCGAATATGGAGCCCCCTTCGATGGATCCCTTAAACTCAACAACTAAATTACTCTCACATGATTTAAGAGAACATAAGAATAACATAAAATTAAGAGGAATTTACACTCCTTAGCACTTTTTCAGTGCGTATTTACATGTTTTAGTTCTTTCGATTGAAGTGGCACTTTTATAACAAAGTGTATTGGAAATTGAGTACCAATTTAGACCAATAATGACCTATTTTACAACCCTGGGATTTCTCGGGTATGAAGAGACGTGTATCGTTGAGCAACAGTGCTAAGGGTCGGCGTTCCGGTGAGTAACGACGACGAGTGCGAAACGGGGGATAACGACGACGGCTGTGACGACGACGACAACAGCGCAATTTGGGGAAGACAATCGGAATTCTGATGTGAAATCGGACTGGACGTATGTAAATCGCAGCACTGAAAACCAATAATTTCCGTTGCTCGAGTAAAAGAGATTACTAAATCGCCGCAGACGAAATTTTGAGGCGTCGTTTCGCATAGGAATCCCAGTTTTCAGAACGTCCTCGATGCCTTCGATTCTAAATCGCCGTCAGCCTTCGATTCTAACCGGAGCTGGATTCGGAGTCTGTAAGCCCCGATTCCCACTGGAAACATAATAATAATGTGGATATATCCATAACCTCTGGAAACAAGATAGAAATATGGATGTAAACAAAATAGTTGCATTTAACGAATTTAACCATAATCGAACATCCATTAATAAACATCCACTATTAAGCACATATACAGTGGTGCTGATAGCATAATGGAAGTATCCATGATAATAGATAGCACACACACAATTGATGGCTATCACCTGATGGAAGTATCCATGCTATGCAATAACACGCATATGATAGCACTTTTGCTCGTTTCAATTCCCCACAGAACATTTTTATGTACTGATAACACCGGATTTTGACCATTTTTATGGATCACTTTAATATCTTTTACAGGTGTTTTTACTCCATTTTCAAAGGTTTTCAAAGGATTTCTATGTTTCCAGATTTTAAAAGACTTTTCAGGTAATTTGGGATAAAGAGGCACAAAATGGAACAAAAAGACTCTTTTGGATAAATGCAGACCGTCAGAACTCTCATAGAGAGACGAAGACCTTCTCACCGTCTGATCACACTCAAAATTGGACAACTTATAGAAGAATCAACCAGCTTTCAAATGCACTTGGTTTGGAGACATTCCAACGGTTGGATCTCAAGATATTCCATTAGCCCCGGAGCCACTCGAAGTCGGCCAGCAAGTCACGCGACAGCGGTGATCAACCTATTTCCCGCGGTCAGAAGCTTCCCGACCGCGGCCAACAAGCCAATCACTGCGGTCACGACACTCACGACCGCGGCAATCAAGGTCCGAATTAAAGCCCACATATCTGAAGCCCAAAGTCATTCTCAGCCTCAATTCTGGAACCCTAGAGACCATGGAGTATTGAAGACTATAAATACATGTCATTTAGGTCGTTTTTAGAGAGAGCCATTCATACTTTACAGAAATCCTTTTCCTTTAGCCGTTTTTATTGAAGTCCGAGTTCTTCAATAGAGAAGCTTTCTTTATCTCTTTTCTTTACTGTTTTTCTTTACTTTTATTAAAACCGATGATGATGTCGACCTCAGCCATGTCTGAGTAGATCCCGAGTTGGGCTTAGGGTTCTCGAAAGGGGCTCTCATAATCGATTAAGACATCTAGGTTTATAGATCTGAGATTTCGAGCTGTTCTCTGTTTATTCTTGTTCTTATTGCATGTATGCTTGACTGATCACCTAGTATCTGATCTAGATAGTTAGTGTTGCGAAAGTTTTCATTAAGTATCAGCACTAGAATGAAACAGGCGATTTTTCCGTAGGAGTGGAAACCTACCTGCGGCGAGATCGTGAGTATTGACGAGTCTTGTGCAGCTCTTGCGTTCTCTCCCTTCCAGGGCCAGAGTGGAAACCTACTGGTCAGGGTTGCGAGAAACAGTTGGTTATGATCACGACAGTGACGTAGTCATACCGCCGTACTCTAGCTCTAGAACCCCTATGTATCGATATCTGTCAATCCCAATCTATCTACTCTAGTGTCAAAACCGATTATGATCCCTTAGAGTTCCCAAAAGCTCAGCGTTTTTAGCCATAGTTTACAATTCCATCGATTTTTATTTGCTTATTTAGACCTGCATTTCAATTTCCTTAGTTCGTTATTTACTTGCTTTACTAGTATTTCATTCGATATTTTACTTGCCTTATTAATCTTTCATTCGATATTATACTTGTTCTATTTGCCTTTCATTCGATTTCTTTACTTTCTTTTTAGGATAGATTTATTTGCTTTCTTTTGTTTTAGTTTAATTTGCAAAAACAACCAACCTTTAAAACCAATTTAGTCTAGACATAAAGTTAAAAACCGTAGAAGAATACCAGGCACACAAATCTCAGTGGATTCGATCCCTAAATACTACAACTGATTAGCTGTGCACTTGCGGCTTTCATTTGTTTTGTTAAGGGTAAAACTTGTTCCCTCACGCAGTTGACACGAACATCAAGTATTTGGCGCCGTTGCCGGGGATTTGTTTCGCTGCCTTTTTGCTATTTTTCTTGTTTTAACTTCTGTTCTAGACACCTGATCTCTAGTTCTTTCTTAAAGTTTTTTTGAACTATCTTTCCCTTCTTTTGTTTTTCTCTGAATTGCATGAATACCAGGCGTAGACCTGCAGGAGATATTCCAATTCTAGACGAGATAGACAGACACGAAAGAGAACTTCGAAGACTTAGACGAACGCAAGGAATGGCCAACGACGACCAGCCTGGAGATCCTGTTAATCGAAATTTAAATATGGACCAAGATGGTTCCGAACATGGAGAAAACGAAGAGAATGATCACATAGAAGGCGATCATGCTCGACAAGATGGAGAGGAGGACGAGGTTCCTCCAAGAAACCACCAGAACCGAGAGAGAAAAGGACGTGAAGACCTTGATCCACCCATCAATGCTGCCGATGGTGACCACCAAGCAATGCAGCCGAATGAATGCATTCATCGCCCCATTCCGCCAGCAAATCAACACCGAAGACAAGCCAGGAACCATCGCATAGCTGATTTTG